AACTCCATACTCATAAATAATAACTTGCCACTATAATTTCTTTGTAACATGTCTATTTCCCATATTTGAGAGAACTACTGATTTATCAATGTCTGAGTCTTATTAATATATTGATACCTAGTTCTTAATTCATTGCCTGGCAAACAGAAGATGCCCACTCAATCTTTGTGGAATTGAGATGTCATGATCAAAATCACATAGCAGATAATTACATCAGCCAGCCATGCCAATCATGGCAACTTTTGAGCTCTACTCCACTCTAACTTAACACTTTACAAAAAATAAAAATATAAAAGGAACATACTCTCAGTGGTTTTCACTTTACCAAAACAAAACAAAAAGTAAATCAAAACAAAGCTTTCAACACTTTCTCATTTCATAAAGTATGAATTCCACACTTTGAGTATAGCATTCAGGGACCACTGAAATTGAGTCCTCCCCACAACCCTACTTTCTACTGCCACATCTTTTCACACCTAAATCCTTACCAACAAAACATCATCCTTTGAAACAGCCAGTTTCAGGTTTGTTTGTTTTTTGCCCCACACTCTGTGCTCAGCCTGAAATGCTTTTCCCCAGTTTTAAAGCCAAATCATAGTTTTCCTTCAAGGGTGAACTTCTATGATTCTTCAGTTCAGAATAAATATCTTCTTCTCTCTGCGTTATGGGCCTCTATTTTTCATTTATTTAGTTTTGCACGACATTGTATCTTACTTATGTTAAATGTTTGTCTTCATCACTTGAGGGCAAATTGCATGAAAATTTGTATTATGTTTCACTTATCATTTTATTTCTCTTCTATTCTTCCTGCAGAATTTTCTGCACTTGGTGGTTACTCAATAATTGTATTTGGAAAGACAAACATCTTGTTCATTTAACCCATATAATCAATACATTGTGGTTTATTGAGCATGCCTAGGGTTATTTAACTTTAATATTAAAGACATAGCAAAGGAACAATGTGGCAACACTGGTTTGAACAAACTCTATACAATGAAATTTGACAAATATATATTAATCATGAGGTTCGTATCACTGTGGTGAATACAATAAATACCAATGAACTAGATGCAGTCCACTTTGTCAAGGAACTAACAACTTAGGCTTAGACAGATATATAATTAACCCCAATAGTTGTTGAACAGTCATAATATGCTGAAGCAATAAGCTTTAGCAATTTTAACTAAGGAGTGATGATTGTTGGGAAGAAATCATAAAATATTTCTTTTTTTTTTAAATGTTTTTATTTATTTCTGAGAGAGAGAGAGAGAGACAACGTGAGCAGGGGAGAGTTAGAGACAGAGGGAGACACAGAATCTGAAGCAGTCTCCAGGCTCTGAGCTAGCTGTCAGCACAGAGCCCAACACAGGGCTCGAACCCACAAACTGTGAGATCATGACATGAGCCGAAGTCGGACGCTCAACCGACTGAGTCACCCATGTGCCCCTAAAATATTTCATTAAAAAGGTAATGTTTCAACTTGAGTTTAAATGGGGAAATATAGTTTCAGTGTGTGAATTAGGGTTGTGGAAGCATTCCAAGAGAGTCATTAGCATAAGATGCAGGAAAATGTTGGCTGATTTCAAAAACAGTGAATACTGTATTTTAACAAGACCTAATGACTCAGTCAGGGAAGTCAGTGAGAGTTAAGAGCTAGATTTGTAGGTTAGGACCATTGAAGAGATTCTTGATGTATCCTTATATTATTAACATATGTTAATACAGCATATCATTATGTTAGTAATATATTAATGATATATATTACATGTAAGTATATATTACATACTGGTATATGTTATAAAAAATAATCCCTATGATTAGAGCTTTTCTTAGCATGTTTAACCTTGGAGAATTATATAGCAGAAAGGGACAGGAGACAAGAATAAATAAAAATCTATTGTAACATTCCAGGTGAGAATTTATGAAGTCCTGAACTACAGTGGTTTTAATATATATGTAAAAAGAAGGGAGTAAAGAGTGTGGGTAGATTATAGCCACAGTTAAGTGTAGGAATCAGAACTGCCTGAATAGATAGTGAAGACAAGTTCAGAAACAAGAACATTTTCTAGTAGGAGAGAATGACATGTTAGGAGACAACCTCTCTAGGTTTATCTATAAAATAATAGCAGTAATGAACTTCCAGTATTATTCTGCTAATATATATGTATAATATAATGATGACAGAATAAACTCCATTCTATTATCTTCTCAGACTCTATGGATACATATATATGTATGAATATATCAAGGTATCACTTGCAGTCTTAACCTTTGCTCTCTAACTTTTCCCTTCTGAGTTTTGGAACTGAAATAATTCAGGAAAAAGTTTCGATAAATTCCTTGCTATCTGGATGGTTATTATCACTACCAGAAACTCAGGAATCAAACAGGTTCTAATAATGCAGTATCCTCACTTGTCAATCTTGCTATATGAACTCAGGAAATGCATAGATTGAATTATAAGTGACACTTTTAAGTGTATTTTAATTTTGACTTAAAATCTGAAGCATCAAATGAAATTTTCCCCAAAACTTTGCTCTTTTAGCCATATGCAGAGTTGTGTTCTAGTACCTGATTGTTTCTGTGTATGTTACATATTTTTGTTTGGTTCTTAAGGATGTGTTCTTACATACTTCTCTTTTTTTAATAAAAAAATCGTCCTTTATTTTCTAAAATATTTTCTTCAATTATTTCCTCAAATATTCAAACTTTATCTAGTTCCCCTATCTAAAGCTTCCAATAGTATAATTTTTTTCCAAAATTATTTTTTCAGATTTCTAAATATTTCTTATCAATATATGGTGCCTTGCTTCTAAGAGATTTCATGTACCAACTGCTGTTCTAAGAACTCACTCTCCAGGTGTCTTCTGATTTCTCTCTCTCTTTTATTTTTGATTTTCATAATGAAATATAAGTTTCATTATGAAGTGGAAGATGGTTTTTCCCCATGCATTCTCTCTTAAAATCATTAATTATTTATAAACAATTTATTGTTAGAAAACTAAGATAACTTTGCTATCCTTTTCCTCATCTGTGGATATGTGGGATTCTGGGTAAGCCAACTGGAAGTTAATAAAAATCAACAACAAAAAGAAAATGTATTGAAGTTAATAATGAGCGCGCAGTTACTTTCCTCTTATACAAATTATTTAAAACAAAACAAAAAGCATTCAGAAGGGCTGCAGTAATTGTAGAATAAAGTTAATGATTTAAAATATATTTAATCTACATACAAGAATCAAATGGACCATGCTGCCTACAAGAGACTACAATAAAATTTAAGGCTAAAAGGTTTAAGACAACCGTCAAAAGACTCTCCTCCACTTTGGTTCCCTCAAGTGTTGTTCTCCCATTTCATATCTCATTGAAATATTCAGTTGCCATTTCTGGAGCTAATTTTCAGAGCCTTACTTGAACTTGAGGGATATTTTTATTGCCGCATATATACTTTGGCCAAGGGGTCTCATCTCACCTTTGTTTATGACAAAGAGAAGCTTTATACACTGTACGATAAGCAAAGCTTTTATGTTAGTAGTTGCCAAAGGTTTGTTTCTTTACCCTTAGTGGTAAAATATTTTGAGGGATGTACCCGAAACAATGTACTTTTAAACATATGTGAAAAATAAAATTAGCAATGGTAAAACACAAAATAAATAAGCATTTAATAGTGTCTTTCTGGAGGTTACAAGAATGCATATACCTTCTTTATAGGTAAAACCTATTCTTTCTCAGAAAAAGACTGACTTCTTCTTATCATCATCCATTAGCTCAAAGGTTCTTTTCCTCTATGATGACTAAGATGTACCAATCTCTTATTTTCCTTTGTTTTATTTGTTTGTTTGTTTGTTTAAAGCCATCCAGTTTATTAAGCTGATCTGGTGATCACCAAAAAGCTTTATTATTTTTTTAACTATTATGCCACCATTTATGTTTTTAACACTGCTAACATTTAGTTGACATAGAACTGATTCTCTCTGAAGTTAAAAGTCTATTTTTTCTAAAGTTTAAATTGTTAAACCCAGAACAAACAAAGGCAGACTTTAAACTTGTTTATTTGGTTTAGCTTATTGTAAACAACAGGGTGATTTGTTCTACATGAAATTGTTAACATGGCTTAAAAATGTGTATTTGTGTGTGTAATGTAAATGAAAATATTCTTTTAGTAAGAATGCCTTGACAATACTTATAATTAATAACATTAGCCTCCCAAATATTTAATTATTTAAAAGTAAGATGATTTTGTAGAATTATTTTAGTATGTCCAACTAGCAATGCCAATATTTACCTTATTGGAATAAATTTCTGGAGGAAAAAGTAGCCTTATAAGTAGCCTTATATGTATTCTCTCTCTCAGAGATAGAGAGAAAGAGATGGGGTTATTTTAGTGGCCTACACAGATTATTGCTTATTTATTTTACAAATGTTAATGTGTTCTTTTATAGATATATAATGACCCAAATTATTTGTGTACTAATAACCAAAATAAGTCAATTTTTCTAAAGAAAAAAAACTTTTTAAATCTCAGAGATGGTTATAATACCTTAGTATGAATGAGAGCAAGAGAAGTGGATTTAGTGATGCCACTAAACATGGGCATGATGTTTTTAAAAGATAAGAATAATAAGAACCTTAAGGGAAGTATGTTTATGTCTCCAAGGACTTAACCATTTTCTAAGTTTAATGGATATCTGACATGTTTTCCAATTTTGGAGCTGTGTTTTACTCTTTGAAAGGACTGGCATTCTGACTGTAGTCTTTCTAAGCTAAGCCGCTTTGTCTCTAGTGCTTGATAATTTTCTTTTCATCTTTAAGTGACAGATCTGAATCACCAGAAAGCAGAAAACATGACTCTGGCAACTAGTTTCAACACACCTTGTTCAGTGGCATATACAGAATGTAATTTATTTTTTGTGACAGTTTTAATAAAAGTGACGTGAAACACAAGGGCTATAATGTTAGTGATATTACACCTCAAAAGAGGAGAAAGTTTGGTATGTTACCTCCTGATTAGCAGCAGCTAGTTCTTCTTCCAGTGCAGAGACTCTTTCTAAAGAAACCCTCAGTCGCTCCCTTACCTAGAAGAAAAACCAAAATATGTGCAGTAATGTACATCCCATACATGTTAAACTGTGCTGAATCCATCATTAACATTATCCAAGACAGTCGCATTCGGCAAATTTTTATTCATAGCCCTAAGTGCTCACAAATACTATGAATACATTGTCACCTTATAGCATCTATCAAGATATTTCCTTATAAGCAAGTCATTTTAGTGTCTCAATGACAGATTTTGCAATGGGGAAAGAGATAGACCTGCTTATTCTTAATTCTGACTCATACTAAGTGGAGGCAAAGTTCAAAAATATATTATGAATTCACCTGAAAAAGACTCACTGATTAAGTATGAGATATAGGCAAAACTTTCTTTCTACTTTTAAAAACTAATATGTGAGATTCATTTGGTATGAATAAATTCATAAAGGATTCTCAGAATCTAAAGAAAACTGTCTATTGCTCATAAAGTTGTATTAATTGGAGGCTTATATTGTTACTGAGAGATTGGAAACTACTTGATTATTCTGGAATTCCTAATTAGCTTCCAGATAACAAAGGTTAAGCCATAATATTTTATAGAAGTGAATACTCTGCACATTTAGTTTGAAAATATTTATGATTTGAAAATAATTATGATTTACAAATGTTTCATAAATAAATGAACTCAAAGAAGTGATTTTTAATTCTTGCTTTCTTAGAACTTCTAAAATTATTTTAGTTATTATATGTTCAGATCTTTAGATATGCTCTATATTTCATATATTAAAAAAATAGGTACTTTTTATCATGTAAAAATTTAAGGAATTCAGAGAAAGGAAATTGACTGAATTAAAATGAATTCAAATTTAATTGGAATTAAAATGAATGTCTACAATGACTTAATTTTCCTTACAAAAGAATCAACAAAATACATAGTTCTTCAACTTAAGATGCAAATCATGGTGAATTTTTGATTAAGAGCTAACAGATATTTTTTTTTTTCCTCCATGGGACTGTTATAGTATTTGTGCAGTTAGTATGTATTTTAATATATTTAATAAGCTCTAATTTTATTAATATTTTATTAATATATTGACAGTATTTTTAATGAATCATATTTCCCTTTTTTAAAAAGATAAGATTTAAGTGAGAATATAGGTTAAATATATAAAATATATTTTAAAAGTTCACATAATAATTAAAATTGAATTATAACATTATTTTCCAATTAGTCAACAAAAACCCCCATCAATATCCTATTAACCTAGAATCTAATTAGAAATTTTAAAAATATCAATTATATTTTTGTGTTGTATATTGACAACTGATACATATTCAGGTGGCTGGTTGCACTTCACTGCTGAAATGTATCTTGAGTAAGAAAGAATAACTGAAAAGAATTTCATATGAATTATGTATAGTTATGTTCAAATTCTCTGAAAATTAGTAATATACATATATTGATATTTGATGTCAAAGATAATTAATTACACAGGATCTTTAATGATATGTAGGTGTGCTAGATGGCCTGGCACATACCAGTGCTATTTGACAAATATACAATTGATCATTAAAATACATAAAACTAATAGTGATTCATAACTGAACAAGAGCTACTTGAAAGGAAGTCTTTGATTATTTGATTTGGAGAATACTTTTTTTATGAGAGTGCTGGATAGATGTAAAAGAAGCAAATATTTGAAGCCTGAAAATAAGGGAGGATTGCAGATACATGGAACACAGATATCAACAAAAATCTTGGTAGATGTGCTTGATATTTAAAAGGGTTGACTGTCAAGTTATATACCCACTTCCTAAAATACCAACTATAAAGTATGGGTGTTCTGAGTGAGAAAGGTCTAAGAATCTTAGTTGATGAGAACAGCAATATGAAGTTGTCAAAATATAAGTTAACAATCTCACTATATGCAACATTGATCCTATCACATTTATACTGCCGTGAAGAGGTAAGTGTCCTATTTTAAGATGTATTGATTCACTGGAATGTTTCTAAAAGAGTCCTTCAAATCATTTAAAGAATGGCTGAAACTTAGCTATCCTATAGGTTAAAATATCTTCCGGACTTTCTTTGCTAAACTGATCATCACAAAAATTGTTATAGTATGGTTCTTATTTACCACAAGTTAAGCATTTTTATTCTCATTATAGCAAATCTTCAAGGGGGTAAAAATCATTAAGCTTATCAAACAACTTGAAACTAGAATAACCCCTTAATAAACTTAGAATGGTTTCTACAGCTTGAGATTATATTACCCACAAAGTAATGAATCTAAAGCTGTCTCTACAAGAAAATAAAAATGATTTCTGAATATATTTTGAAGTAGTTGTAAATGTAAAAACTGGTGTGGTAAATATCAATACATAACGAGATAAATGTATTATTCATGTTTATATTAGAATAAATAATTCTCTGTATTTAATATATCTTGTACTAATTTCTGCTAAACTGAATAAGACAAAAAAAAAGGTAGGATTCAAAGGAGTAACTTTTCTAAGCCATAAAAATATCCTAACATTTTACCTTGTCTACATAGCTGAAACTGTATTAACAGGAAAAAAATATTATCTCTGAGAAGATTTTTAGCTTTTTGCTCTGGTTAGCTAAGCACAGCACCAGCAGAATGACATAATTACCTTTATTTTCCTTGTTGGATATGGTGTACTTGTGTAACTAGACATGATTGATATGGCATAAAAATTATAATTTTAATTTTTTCCCTAAATGAAAGTATACAGGTGATATCCTTAGCTCTATACTTAATCTTTTCTGATTTTTTTACTAAATAACCACATTCAATTAATCCATTGTTTGTAGAATCTTTTAGTTCATACCTGTTGATATTTTATTTATTGAACTATAGTATAACCTCTAAAATATTTATGTACAACTAGAAGTTTTTTATTTCTAAGTTGATTATATCAATTTTCTTCATAAGGATATGAAAAATGACTAAAGAATTTTTCCCCAAAAGATGTTTCAAGGCTACATAGATTTTGTCCCTGAGGAATTAAAATAAAATAATTCCTCCCAAATAATAAATGTGTCTCAGGATGACGAGAAACATTGGTGATTCCAAATTAAAATTAAGGTATGGCAGGGTTCCATTTTGGAATTATCAGTCCTATAACAGAAAACATTGTAAAGAGATTTCCTTAGACCATAAGTTCAAATCTCGTTTTGGCAATATGATATTAGACCACAGAAATATATATGGAATGCACATATATTTGCTGTTTTCTTTTTGCTTATATTCTCCAGGCATATCCAATATGTCTTTTAAAGTAATGAAAAACCAGTCAATGATATCTGAGTGATTGCAAAACACATGTATATTTAACATTCCTCCAGCCCCCCAAATTGGTAAGCATGCTGGAGAGTGACATTCAAAGTTATTGTCAGTCTTAGCTAATAAGGAAAATTCAATTTTACAACTCAGCGGATGTATAAATAAGGACATTAATAATGAAGACTGCCAGTCATTGTAATCATCCATAGCTATGCTTATTTTTTTATACTTTGTTTAGCTTTTTGTATGTAACTTTACCCTGAATAGTAAAGTTGGTAGTGTCTTGTCCTCACGAAATGGTTACTTGCATCTTATCTTCTTCTGATCATCTCTCTATATTATAACACAATATCCATAGTTCATAAATTAGAATGCAATTTGTCTCCCCACTACCCTAGCCTCTTGAGTAGCTGAGCTATTCTTAGGGTGACTGTCTATGAAAGCACAGATTAGTCCTTCAATAACTAAATAAAATGCTATTTGAAACAAGCATGTGGATCAACAGTAACACCAACATCTTTACTTAGTTTAAAGTTTTATCAAGTGCTGAAATTTATTCAAATTAACAGTAATGCTCATTAACATTCAATGAGCACTTGACACATGCTAAGTACCATCTAAGAGTTTTGCACGTCAGATCACACTTAATCCTCATGGCAATTCTATGAGTTAAGTACTATTAGCTCTCCATTCAAAAGAGGAAACAGATGTTTAGAGAAGTTAAGTCACTTGTCCATATCTGTCCAACTCCAGAATCCAAGCTCATAACACTTTTCCTTTAAACTGTTCAACAATACTTAGCGGATAATGGGTTCAGTTCTCTATGAACTAACCAATGCCCATGGTACTTCCGGTGAGTCAGTACATACTATTACAGCATTTGTCTGGGCTAAGTTGTACAACTATTTTCTTCTTAAATGTACTCACACCCATCAGGTTATTTGTCTTGAATACTGTTTACCTCCTTGCAACCATTCTTTCATAAAATACCCCTCAAGTGATATGGGAGTGCTTACAAGGAACTTCTACAGTCACACATTCTCAAGCACTTTCATTTAAGACACTCAAAACTATTACATTTTCTCTGGGAAGGCCATGTTCTTCTTACACATCTGGGTTATTTTACATATAGATCCTGTTGCTCAGAGTATCTTCATTACTCTGCTTAAAAAACCCCTATAGATTCTCTAATATTCAGACCAAATGTCCTATATAACTTCTGTGAAGACATTCTTGAATTGTTTTTTTTATCACTTTCTCAAGTGGAATTAGTCACAACTTTTCCTGTGGCTCCCTATTGCATTGTACATATTGTGTCTTAACATCACCTGTTACTGACATGTGAATCTATCTATCTTTGTGTGCCAAATATCTGTCTCACATATAATAGATATTTCAGAAATATGAAGTCTTGTAAATTCTTAACAGTGTACTTTTGTAATAAGAAAGGGAATATGAACTTAAACATTAAACATATTAAGTGGTTAATTGATATTTTATATTGATGATATTATATTAATTAAGGATCTTTATATAATATCAATTTCTATCTTAGTTAAAATTATTCATAAACTATTTTCCTCTCATGGCTAAAATGAAAAAAGCTACAATTTCTTCTTAACAATCTAGAAATAGAATTATAGTTATCCTTATGCACATACTTCACATAATCCCCTGGTCTAAGAACATCTGAAAGACCAGTGATAAAAGTATATATGTACATAAACTTTAACTAAAGCACAAGTGTCTGCATGCTTAAAACCTAGATATAACTGGGTAATAATCCCTCATTTGGATTTTAATACTCAGAACTTGTCAGGTATTTTCTAATGAAGTGCCCCAATTCCCACTCTACAAAATCCTAAGCTTTATTAATTTTAAAAAGTTAATTCTCTAACATTTCACAAAATTAAAATCATGTGATAAGCCTTACTAATCTCCAAAGGATATTATCATCATATTGGCTTATTTATGTCAGTAAAAGTTTCTTGAGTAACAGCTAAGAGAAGCTTACTGCCACTTTTTAAAAAAAGACCTAAAGCAGGTTTTCTCCACTGATACTTTATGCTGTTACATTCAGAGACTCTTCAAAAATATATATTCAGAACTAAGATATCAGAGATCAAAAAAAAAATGTGTGCTTATAATATCAACCTCCAAAGGTCAGAGTATACATCCAATTTACACTTGAAGATGTGTTGAATTGTCAGTTAGTGGTTTCCTGTGTTGGCATCTATAGACATGCATCTCAGAGAGGGACTGGGAGGGGAGGAAGAGAGTGGGCGAGAGAGGGAGACTGAATGACAATATTAAATTTCAAATGGCCATCTGGACTAGGACCATAATGCACCATAATAAAAGTGTAACTTGATAAGCCACAGATTCAGTGGTATTAAAAAAACCAGGGTTATGAGTATTACCGATATACACACAATAATCCAGTTGCATTGATAAAAATGATTTTCCCATAATTCAAATGTGTTTCTCTGCACTCATTTACGTCAAGAGTCAGCTGAGTCATGGATGAAGGCAAGGAGCTCGATGCTGATGACGAAAGCACAGTGAAGCCTGAAATCTTCTATCTGTACTAGAACTCCTTAAAATTGGTAGCTGAAGTGTATTTTATTTTTTTAATTTCACCTTGATTGAGGTATAATTGACACATAAAACTGTAATAATCCTTTCTAAATACTTTACCTTTTCATCCAAGGCCTTGTGGTGCTCAAACAAAGATTTCAGTGCCTTGAGAACCTCGACTTCACTGGACACTCCTGAGGGGGACTGGGCTTGCCGTTTTACCACCGTCATTCTTAGCGACCTTTCATGTCGTGACACCAGGCATTCCAAGTGCTCCAGTAACAGCTATTGGGGTTTAACAGAAAAGGTAATTACCCTAAATGCAATTATCTTATGAACACAAGTTACTTGTGAATGACTTCTACCTGAAAAGGCTGCAAGTTTACATAGTATCTCATGATAACCTCAGATTTACCACAGGTAGTAGCAAAGAAGCACAAACCTGGGTCTAAATCAAGGTCCATAAACGGCATTAAAAGAAATTGCATCTCTATCATATAACGAAATTATTCATTTAAAAAATGTAATGTAGGGGCGCCTGGGTGGCTTAGTCGGTTGGGCGTCCGACTTTCGCTTAGGTCATGATCTCGCAGTTCGTGGGTTCGAGCCCCGCGTCGGGCTCTGTGCTGACTGCCAGCTCAGAGCCTGGAGCCTGTTTCAGTCTGTGACTCCCTCTCTCTCTGACCCTCCCCTGCTCACGCCGTCTCTCTCTCCTAGAAATAAATAAAAACATTAAAAAAAAATTAAAAAAAAAAATAAAAAATGTAATGTAAATTCTTATTCATCCTTTTAGAAAATTTAATAATTTCAGCATGAGCTCATTAGAAATAGAACACAAAATAGGTGTGATCAAATAGAATAATTATTGAAGAACATTGCACAATGCATGATGATTTTGTTAAAAGAGTATTAAAAGTCAAAACTAAGTTAGTATACATTTGGTCATTTAAAATTGTTGAGTTGAAGGAAATGAGCATAATCATGTTGTTTTGAATGTGATTATAGTGATAATCACATTTGAATAGTGATTATAGTAATCATTATAATCACATGTTGCTATAAAAATCATAGTGAAAATCACTAATGGTTTTATTCACAATTAATTCTTAGGTTACATAATAGAAAAATACATGCAACCAACTGGAATATAGTAACTGAGATTTTACAATAGTCATTTTGGGAAAAGAGGTTTTTAAATGGTCTACTGTGGGACATACATTCACCCAAAGTAGCCTCTGGGGCCATTAAAGGCCAGTGAACAGTGTTTCGGTCTGTTTCAGACCTACACTCTAACATTTCCCAAAGAAAGTTTACTTTTAAATGCTTTGTGTGAGGTACCTGGGTGGCTCAGTCAGTTAAACATCCAACTTTTAGTTTTGGCTCAGGAAATGATCTCACAGTTTCGTGAGTTGGAGCCCCTCAACGGGCTCTGTGCTGATGGTGCAGAGCCTGCTTGGGATTCTCTGTCTCCCTCTCTCTTTGCCGCTCTCCCAGTCATGCTATCCCTGTCTCTCTCAGGATAAATACATAAACCTAAAAAAAATTTAAAAATGTTTTGTGAATTGGGACTTCACCTTTGTTTAGTCTAATAAGGGAGTTCTGCTGCTAAAAACAAAGATACCTGAAAAAAATATTAAAAAAAACAAAACTGCTGGGTTAACTTCTCAGTTATTAAAATTTTGGTCAGGGAAGAACAATACATGACCAGGAAGTTTTGTGTGAGAGATTTTCAGAAGGGTACTGAAGAGTATAGGCTAACAAATATCTATGTAAAATAAAGCAGAAGTTACTCAAACAAAAAAGGGAAAAAGCAGATATAAGATACTGGGATGGAAAGAAACAAAGAAAACATTTTTTTTGGCAGGAATTTTCTTAAAGCTTACACATCCTGAAGTAGTAAAAATTTTTGGTTTTCACAATGTCATTGTTGGATTCAGTGTCACATGTTAGTATCACTTTTCTTAGTTCTTAATAAATTAATTTCTCTATATTCACCATCACTAATTATGGTTCCAAGTGTCAGAAAACTGTCATGCATCGGCACAGAAAAACACAAATAGCTGAGATCCTAAATGTATACAGATCCAGTAGGTAGGGATCATATTAAAGGGTCAAAATTATATTAATAGCTCTTTAGTATGAAATGACACAATGTTTTTGAAGAGCTTTCCTTTTATTTCTCAATCTCTGATTATATTCATGGTGTTCTACTGTCTTGAAGTCTACAGATACATGTGTGCATTGGTTAAATCCAAGCAGTTTCACGTAGGTTATGGGATTTCCTATGAACTTAACCCTGAAATAGAGAGTTACGGGAGCTGAAAAGAGGAGAGAACTACTTTGCATAGAGCACTAAGCTGATGTTTCATTGAGAGGATGATATTGAAACTGAGACTTAAAAGATGAGAAAGAGGTGGCCAAATGAGGAGCCCGAGGAAGAAAACTCCTGGCAGAGGGCAGATCAAGGAATAGAAAGTAAGCTGGCATGGTTAGAGCAAAGTTTGTTGGGAAAAGGCTAACATCAGATGATGTTGGAGAAATAAACAGGGTTAAGTTCACACAGAGCCCTAGGACCTATGTGAAATAGCTTGCTCCCAGGGGAACCTTTCAAAGTCCAGGTATTTGAGTTATCCCCTGCAAATGGTGTGCTGACACTGGCCCATACCAGTGTGTTAGAGGGGATTGTTAATTTTCAGGAATTTTGTGAGCCAGTGGTTAAACAGTTATTGTTCAAGCTTAAATTTTGTAAGCTTATAATTATAAACATTCGAAATGTATTAATTCCTAATTATTTTACTAAACTCCAAGTTTTTAATAAAATTCCAAGTATTTCACCATTATCTATGCTCCTTGGGGTTTACTGCTATTGCATTTGAAGGTAGAAATACCACAGGTTGGTTCTTTACTGTGCATCGTTTCCTTTCTCAGCTTTCAGTGATATCATGTTGGTAGCTTGAAGTCAGCTACCATGGGAGTAGTAAAATCATGGGAATTCCAAATAATATAAATTAGTGGGGTTTTTTGTTTTTTTCTGGTAAAAAAAATCATTTACCAGCATATCATTGTCACTAGCCATCAAATTATAGGAGCTGGGAGCCCAAAGATTATGGAGCAGAAAAGGTTCATCATCACTGTGCCCTTTCTAAATCCCTGACCCACTCAATCTGTGAAGTACAGTAAAATGTAGTCCTGATATTAAATTTGGGGGTGGTCTATTATGAAGCGATTAATCAGAAGATCTTCTCTAAAAGGACCCGCGACCATTTAGTATGGTAACAGTACTGAGGAAGAGTGAATATCAAATTTCTTGAATATTATCTCTGATGTAGGACTAATTCTTTAGTACTACTCTTTCAGAGGCTTTTAACAATCTGCTAGACAAAAATGCTTCACCTCGTGGATATCAGCCTATTCTTCTGGACACCACAATATTTGCTGAATGGGTTTAAATAAAAGTGACCATGGTTTCAGGGATAGAAGTTATTCTTTAACCTGGCAAAATGGGGTACTCATTAAGGCTGATAGGGTTACCACCACAGCTGAATGGCCAAGTAACCAGCTGCAGCTTCAGTCTTGAACCCCTGACATGGTAACAGTCCTCCTAGAGGCCAGGCTAGTCACCTTGAAGCAAATTACATCAAATCCCTTCCATCAAGGAGGGGTGGGTATCTTTTCTTAATTTAATAAATGTTTTTTTTCTCCTGGATATGGAATTGTCTTCTTTAATGGGTATGCTTCTACTAGCAATATCATCTTATCAAGATTTTTTACTACAGTCTAGTTATATACACATTACTTCTGACCAAAAAAAAAAAAATAATAATAAATAAAAACAGAAAGAAAACAAACAAACAAAAAAAATAAAAACAAAACCAAAAACAACCCATATTTTACAGTGAAGGGGGTAATTCAGTTGACTGATGCCATCAGCCTTGGTTTCACTACATTATCACATCATTCAGAAGCAGATGATCCTATAGAAGGATTAAAGGATCCAGAGAAGAGTCTATCTTGATTCAATTTTAGAGATAACTCAGTGCTACCCTGGTAAGATATCATCCTGAAATTATGTACTTAGAGACAGTGACGAATAGATACCAGTTCATCTACAGAGGTCCAGGAATCTAGGTTTAGAATTGGAATTTATAATTGCCAGCAGGACTTTTTGACCAGTTGGAGAAAGGGGGATCTTTTTCTGTTGTTGTTATATATGCATGATATATATTAAATTACTCTCCACTTTTACTCTATTTTATATTGAATATTTGATTCTGATTAACATTTAAAGTCATCCATAGGTTACAGAATATTAAGATATGATTGAGATTTAATGAGAACAAGAGTTGTACACGTGGAAGAACCCTCGTCATGTAGCTACATGCATGGACTTTCTCTTTTGAGAAAAGGTGATTTTGGTTTTGTCTAAGTATTGTTGGATAGATATCAGTATTGCTGCTGTTTAGAATTTTGATATGAAAAGAGTACAACAAAAATTGTACTGGAGGCATAGTAATTGTGGTTGCCCCAATTTTTTGGACATACTCTCCATCTTTGACAGTTCTCTGCATTCTGAATGTCATCTTCCCAAAACTGGATTCAAAAAAACATTTTGCAGGCATGTTTAACCACTAGGGGGCAGACATGTGACTTAAGAGTCAGCCGACCAGAGCTGCCCACATAGGGAAGATGCTGAAGGGAGCCAGATGAGGAAACTCGCTAGGCATGGCGGTACACTTTGTTGGCACAGGTGGTAGCAGAGGCTGCACGTTTCTGGGTCTAGGAATGTAAGGAAAACCCACAAGGCTAAGGAAATATGGTCTTAGACATTGTATATGGAAGCTATATTTAGAGATTTCTTTTTTTTTTTTAGTGTTTTTTTAAATTTATTTCTAGGAGAGAGAGAGAGAGAGACAGCATGAGCAGGGGAGGGTCAGAGAGAAAGGGAATCACAGACTCTGAAACAGGTTCCAGGCTCTGAGCTGGCAGTTAGCACAGAGCCCCACGCGAGGCTCGAACCCACGAACCTCGAGATCATGACCTAAGCGAAAGTCGGACGCTTAAACGACTAAGCCACCCAGGCGCCCCTATTTAGAGATTTCTTATATTCCTTAATTAATGTCTTCTTGATTAATACAGTTAAGCTGTACTGCTTTATGCAATTAGGAACTCTCATCTATATAATAATAACACTAAATAATGTGTTCTTTAAAATGGACTTCTTAAGGTTTTAACAATTTAACTCACCCTGAATACTCCTAAATACTTAGGAATATATGCTGTAGAAT